ATAATCGATAATTTAATAGTTTTTACATTTCTATCGCAAAGTTACACTTTGTTGAATATGTTACAATGTTAAATGTAATAATTTATTAATTTTTTATCGACTGAAACTATATTTACATTTTCGTGATATTAATTTTTAAATTATAACTGCATTTATGTATATTAAATAGTAATTTATGTAGAGAAAAATTATGTAGTCAAAAATTAAATTAAGCGGTGATTGATGTTGCTTTAGAATAATCACGTAACATATTAAAATTTTGGCTCGTTTATTCTTTGAAAGAGCAAGAAATATGTATATTATGTAACTGTTTTTTCGGTTATTGTAAATAAAATAATTTAATTGTTATAAATGAATTATTCAAACTATGAAATAGTTTATATGCAACTCAGTCGAATATGCAACTCAGTCTTAATAAATAATATCGTACTATAAGAAAGAAAATATGGTCTCGTTTAAAAAATTTTGCAAGAAATAATTTACAATACATAATGTGCTTCTTTATTGCAAACAATATTTGTAGAAATATTTTATTGATAAGTTCAAATTTTCATAAAATCCAGTTTATGGGATAAAGATAATTCATTCAAGTCGTGGATTTACAAATTTGTAAATAAAAAAACGGCATATCTAGTTATGTTGTTCATAAAGATATATTTCAATGAAATTTTTTCTAAAACTTCTTTTAAATAGATGTTAATAGTGAAATATCTACTAAATGTTTCATCCCAATTTCCATTAGTCGCTATTTTAAATTTGCTGTTTATATTCTTTCATTGATAAAGTACTATTCAATTCAATAAATAATTCTCGAAACTGATCTGGCGACACTGTTCATATTTTTTTAATTTTAATTTTCGCCACTAGTAGTGCTGCGGTCGCAAAATCGGTAAGACAGGATATGACACGAAAATGGTACGGTTTTGAGGACTGTGTTACCATCGCCGAAAAAATATAGTGGATGCGTGGTCTTATATACTTCGTCTGTGGTCACGCAGATGAAAATTTTGTCGATGGCGAGATATTTAAATTTTTACAATTTTTGAAAAGAGAAATATTCTTATTTTTACACTTGCAGTATGATGTAAAAATAAATATCTTTGAATGAAACAAACTCAGGATTGTTAAAATGAAGACTTCACTTTTTAAAATAAAATCAAATTAATTGTACAATTTTTTTTCACGAAATTATAACAGTTTAAAGTATTGACAATTTTTTATCTAGTGTATAAATATTTTCGTTCTTTTTTAAGAATTTCTCGTGAATTTTGTGTATTTGATTTAAACCAGAATTTTTTATTTTTTATTCTGTTATTTCGTGCAAAACGCGCGATTACAGCGCCCTAACGGTGAAATACGAAATATACTTCCTACTTTCGAACATAATCGATATTTCTCATGATCGATTTTTAAACAGGAAGAATGGCGGAAGGAAACACACGATTTTGTAAAGAAGAAAATGTTATTCAGAAAAATCATTCAGAAAGAAGTGTCATTCAGAAGTTCTCAAGTAAAAATTTAAATCAATAGTTATTAGATTTGTGTTTGTGTTTTAAATTTTTAAGATAAAACGTGCATTTTTGGCTTCAACTGAAGGTAAGATCTAACCAAATAATTGTTACATATAATTTTTGACAATTAAAGAAATAATAGCATATAAACATTTAAATAGAGCATACTATGCTAAAAGTTATTTATAATTTTATACTGAAATTTAATTTCAATTCTAACCAGTACAAATATTGTAATTGACCAACTCATTGTTATATATATCTATATATTTTGTTATATGTTTTTACAAACTTCTATTATAACATTTTCTACTTATTTGTTGAGTTTTAACCTCACATTGCGTAGTTTTTAACAATTCTAATAAGTAAAAAATAATAATTTATTAAGAATGTATTTAATAGTTAAAGTAATAATTTTACTGCGTAATATAATGAAATTGTTCAGTACTCAAATAAAGTAAGGCATAGGAAGTCTTGAAGCTTGAAATTCAAAGCAACAATACCAACACAATGTTTATGTTCGTCTTAATTATCATGCCTGTTTGGACAGGTTCATTCCATCCTCTTTTGTCGATTGCGTGACGAGACGTATTACGGAAAGTCATTCGATGGTCGAATTCTGTAATAACAACACGTATTATACCACCGTATCAGGTTCGTAACATAACCTATCTCTTTGATAGCATCACTTCGACACTCTTTTACTTCTTTTTCTAACTCATTGATAATATCGTTTAACTAATATGTTTCATCTACTTATAAATAAAAATCATTAAAATTTTTTGTAAAGATATTAGGCTAAATTAGATTTAGTTAGGCTTATTAGATTTAAACTTAGATTTAAACTTAGCCGTAGAAATTTTAAATTGATATTTGGATATATAAGAATGCCGAATTTGTACATTTTTCACACAAGAATATTTTAGAAAGGATTTATATATTTTAGAATTAATTATATTTTCTACAATGATTATATCTGTAAATGAGAGGATTGTTGTTTCTTCTTTTCTTTAATTTTTCTTATGTTATATCGAACTTTTGATAAAATTTATTTGAGCTGATAAGGTTTTTTAATTTTTGAAAATTCAAAATGATCTTCAAAAATCATTTCCCTGTCTGTGTTGTGCAGATTGCATGTATCTTTCGTCGGTAAGATAGAGAGTAAATTGATACTATCGATATAGTAGACACATGGATGTACAGTTTCTAACATATTTTGTAAGAGGACAGTATTAGTATTCCCGGTTACTCCTGCTCTCTGCTGGGCATATCTTCAATTACTTTCGAATGAAAGAAACAAATGCGTATGAAATGTTTTAATTATTTTCATCGTTATTGAAAATAGTACTTCAATTCAAAACTTCCTACTTCAGAAATTCTGTTCCCTTATGATTTCAAACAAACCTCAATTCTTGTCTTTCTAGACAAACATTCTAACAATAATTTCTAACAATTTTTCCAGTGGTCATGATTTGTGGTACTATTTAGAAA